TGGGTTCTGCTAGTTATACTTCCACTGATAGATCCTCAGGTGATGGGGTTCCCTTCCCTTTGATACAAAGGAAAGGGGAAATGGTTTATTCTCTACATGTTCTTTTCCAGTCAAGGTAGACTGACAAAGAACACACACATTTGTCACACAAACAATGACAGCAGTGCCTCTGAGCAGACACAGACAGTGAACAGTTGTCTACACACATAGGCCATTGAAAACCTTAGAGACAAGTTTGACTATATTTTCAGTCTTTAAAATAATTCAACTTTGTTTTATGGTGATTCAAAACTGTTTGTGCAGCTCTGGCAGAGCTGTAAAAAAATCAGCCAACGAGGCCTTAAAGAAACACAAACATGAGGCCCAGAATACTTTTTAAAGTCTCGTGTTAATACAAACTTTGTCATTATTTTCATGCTATTCTGATTTAACTTTTCGACTCCACATAAAATATTGTACAGTACGCAAATGACATTCTTCATATCATTGCTACCACAGGACCTTGCCAACAATTAAAAAAAGCTATGCTGTGTTTTGTGCAAACACATTGTAACACATCCTTTTATAAAAATTTAAAAGTGTGGCTTACTAAATGTGAAATAAATGTTACTGAAATTATATTGACAGTAAAAATAAGCGGTTTTTACTTACTGTTGTATGTCAAAACTGTCCATGCGTGTCAAGTTTTTGGGAAAAACATTTAGAAATTGAAAAGTGGTGTGTGCGTTTTGATCAAGGTTGGAGTTCTGTGGAGATGTCGTTGACTTTTAACATTGAAAATGTACAAGATATATTCAATAGCCTTCAAATGAGATGTTCACTGGGGAAACAAAACCTTTTTTTCAGCGGCAGCTGCCCCCTTGTGACACCCCCTAGGACTGCCACAGGCAGTTTATTGTTTATTTATTTATTTATTTATTGGTGTGTGTGTGTATGTTTTTTTCAATACATTGCAGATTTTTAATAATTAAAGGTTCTTTTATAACTTTTTCCCCCTCCCAGAATAAATAAATGTCTGGTGGTTATGGTTACATTTACATATTTTAAAAATAATTTCCATTAAACCACCAAGAAAATCTCAACACAAGCAGAATTAAATTGATCACAACACAGCCCAACATTTCCTTCATTTAATCAAAGCTGTATAATGAGAAATTAAGAAAAACACATTTTTTAAAAACAAAATTTAAATCCTAATTGTTGAACTATACTTTTGTAGTTGAACTAACAAATACATTTGTTATGGTGCCGTTTTTGTATTTTTCTGAGATCACAGCACTCCCCTTTGAATCACTCAGAAGACAGAAATGTATTTTCATTTGTAGCTTTAAGAATAAAATATAGATTAATAAAAATAATAAAAAGTTATTAGGATTATAAAATTGAAGAAACACACTGAAGTGCACATAAGATGATGGCAGAAGAATCAAAGCAGTTGACAAGATTATGAAGACCATGTTTCATAAAATAATCTTTAAATTCATTGAGGTGTATCTTGTGTGAACTGTCGTTATAAAATTATTGATATGTGCTAAAATCACTGATAAGAAACCAAGTTCCCAGAAAGACACCTCTGTTTTAATCTTCTTATACACTGCTTTTAATAATAAATACATTTATTTCATTGGATTTTGGTTTCTTGAAAGAAAAAAATAATAATACTTGAGAATGAGAACATACAGTGGTGCTTGAAAGTTTGTGAACCTTATAGAATTGCCTATGTT